TGCTCCGGTTAGGGTTACATTATTCAAGTCAAGCATGTATACATTGTTTACCCTCAAGCCTTTGAACACATCATCTTTCTTATCATTGTGTTAAATTACGCAACAATCTTTTGAAAAAGAGACATTGTATCCTTTGTCGCATAATTGACTAATGCTCATAAGATTGTTTTTAAGACCATCAACTAATAGGGAATCTGAGATAGTAGTAGAAGAGGGATTACCTACACTACCTTTACCAAGTATTATTCCATTGTTATTCTCACTATAGGTTACAAATACTTTCTTTTTCACCACAAAGTAAAAAAATAGGGAGATGTCGCCCGTCATATGTCTTGAGCACCCACTATCGAGAAACCATTTTTTCTCCGTAGTCTCAAGACATTCCACCTACAAGTTTAAACAAGTGTAATAGGTACCCAATTTTTATTGGGTCATTTTGTGTGAGTGATACTTGAGTTGCATTTTGGCAACCATTTGAAAATGCCTTGAGGAACCAAAAACCTCCTAAATCGAAATTTGCCAATGGTGTGCCCCTTTTTGCAACAATATAAACAAGTTAGAATTTTGGGTAAGTTACTTTTGCTTGGAGGATCTCTTGTTTCATAAGTGTATTTTTGATAAGGATTAATCATACTACTTCTGAAATTTGATCTATCAATGCTAAAAGTAATTTTGGGTTGTAGGGCCTTGTCAAGTTTGGCTTTAAGAGATTTGACCTCTATTTGCCAAATATAACAAGTTTCACATCCATTCTAATCATGCCAAGAAAACTTATCATCTTTGCTATCAATTTTGATTTTCTCTACCATAGATGCCTTAAGAGCTTCCAACTCTTCTTGGGAATTGGACACTTTTTGCTCAAGGTATGAAAATATTTTCTTGTTTGAGGCTAATCGTTTAAAAGTTTCTTTAGCATCATTTTGCAGAGTATCAAAGTCTCTTTGAAATTTTATGTGAGACATTTTATCAATATCATCATATTTAGGGTAACTTACACTGCTTTTATTCTTTTGATGACCCATGAGACAAAGGTTGATTGTTTCTTCTTCGTCACTAGAGTCGCTTTTACTTGAGGCTTCACTATCACTATCCCAAGCAATGTATGCTCTTCTAGCTTTGTTAGGTCTCTTTTGGAATTTGTCTTTTCTTTTGTCTTTCTTGAGCACTGGGAAATCCAGTTTGTAGTGACCGGGTTTTCCGCAGTTAAAACATGATCCTCTTGATTTAGATTTCTTGCCTTCATCTTGTCTTGACGGTTTTGATTGACTTCTATAATTGATGATATTTTTGTCCGAGTGTTGGACTTCATTCTTTCGGAGATATCTATGATACTTTCTCACAAACAACCCCATGTCTTCACTTGAGCTTTCATCATCATAACTGGACTCACTCACACATGAGTTATTGGTGGAAACCTTTGAGCTTGAAGCCTTTAATGCAATAGACTTATTTTCTGTGTCTTTTGGTTTTTCTTTCTTTTCCTTTTTCTCGTGCTTATTTAGATTTATGAGCTCTTGCTCATGCTCTTGAAGCTTCTCAAACAATGTTGTTATGTCGAGTGTAGCTAGATTGCTGGCTTCCTTGATTGCTATAACTTTAGGTTGCCATTCCCTATTAAGACACCTTAAAAATTTTTTAGTAGCAACAACATTGGGAGTAATATGACCAAGAGTGTGTAAGCGATTGATTATATGAGAAAATATCTTTTGCATATCAGCAATGGTGTTACCATGCTTCATGTGAAAGAGATCAAACTCTTGAGTCAATGTATTGATTCTAGAAAATTTAACATCATTTGTCCCCTCATGGGAAATTTGTAGATCATCCAAAATTGCCTTAGCAGTAGCACAATATGACACTCTAAAATATTCATCAACACCTAAAGAAGCAATAAGCATATTTCTACCTTTCCAATCATAGCTATACTTTTTCTCGTCTTCATCATCCCATAGTGCTTCTGATTTGGGTATGCTGATGTTATCCTCATTGGTCATGGTTATTTGCATAGGACCATCCTAGATAACTTTCCATATTTTTCTATTAACATAGTTAATATGCACATGCATACAATCTTTCCAATAGCTATAGTTTTCACCAGTGAAAACGGGAGATCTCGTATAAGCCCATTTTGGATCGTTCTCCATATTCTACAAAGTAATATATGAAGCACCAGATGAACCGGTGCTTTGATACCACTTGATAGATGATGTGATAGATCTAGAAGGGGGGTTGAATAGATCGTTTAAAATAACTTGTGCTTTTTAAAATTGTTTTTTTGAAAAATATGCGAAAGCTTCCCGGAATCTCCAATCGTCTAAACGATCCTCTATTGAAAAGATCGGATATGCATAACCGTATGGGATATATTGACAAAGTAAGAATCAACACATTTTACTCAATTGATCAATCACTTATACACCCTTAATGAATATTAATTACTTCTAATGAGTTGAGTGAGATAAAGCTAAACACAATGAATAATTTGTGGATTAGTCAATTTGTCAAACACCTTATGAGCAAAGCACCTTAGGTTTGATTTTACTAAATTTTAGTGGTGAGTTTTCTTAGGTATCAATCAAAAGGATTGTTACCAATGGTTTGAAATGAACTCAACACACCATAATTTCAGTATGTGCAGATTTGACAAATTAACTTTCACACAGTATAGTAATCAAGTATGGAGATAAAGAAAAAGAAGAAGAATGCATGATTTGTTAAGGTAGTTCCCCTTGTCGTCCTCGCGTAGGGTACGTATGCCCCCAATTCTAGAATCTAGAATTGAGATACTTGATATTAAGTTGTAAATGTTACAAGAAAAGAGATAGTTCACAATACAAACCAATCAATGTTGCTGATGCAACAGTCTTCTTCCCTTTCCTTGGGTTGAGCAAAATCAAGTGCCAAATTCTTCGAACAAACCTCCAGTTACCGCTACTTGATTAAGAAAACCCACCGTTTCTTAATCCTTTCACTCGGCTGATTTCGATCGCAAGCAATTTGACCCCAAATCTATCTTCACAATCCTTTGGTTACCGCTACTTGATTAAGCAAACCCACCATTTCTTAATCCTTTCACTCGGCTGAATTCAATGAAGCAAAGACTTGTGCAAAAACCCCCGCACCAACAGGAATCTTGGAGGAGAAAATCCAAAAGATTTTATTCAAGAACAACCCACAATTTCTCAACCCAAATTTGAATTGAATCCTTGATTTTAACATTATCACCATAACACTTTTCTTGAATCAACAACCATGATTATGTGTAGATGTTGATTTTTGAGAAGAGAGGATGAAGATGATGAGCACTATGTGTATCTTTCACTAGTTCTTGTTAACTTCAAATGTTGATGCATAATGAATATATATATGTTACATAATGGTCAAGACCCACATCATAGCAGAAAAATAGATGGAGGCAGCGAGCGGTCAACTCAAACATAAAGGGGGGTCGGCGCGACACAACCCGTCGATGAAGGGAAATTGTCTTAAAGTGTAATGCATCCACCGTTTCAGGAATTGCATCGACGCAAACTTTGAATATCTTGATTCCCAGGTTTAGTCGAACGGAAGGATCGACGTGACACATCTAGCAGTTTGAGGAAAATCCATTTTGAAGTACAGTGCGTCAACCACTACAGGGCTTGCGTCGACGCGATAGTTGAATATTTTGATTCCCAGGTTGAGTCGACCGGAAGGGTCGACCTGACACATCCAGGGCTTGGTTGAAGGTGATGAGTCGACCGCACATATCTTTGAGTCGACATATAGATTGAATTTTCTCAAAAATAAGTGTTTCTGAAGATCTTCATTCCAACCTTTCCACAACAAGATTGTTCATAGGACCAACCCAAATTGAGAGTACGTAATAATCATTTTGACATCATTAAAATACTTGTAGAGGGACCTTGCCCTCACATAAAGAACACCTGGTAGCCTTTTGGATCAACTCAATTTTTGATCCCCTTGCATCCTCATTTGTTTATCCACTTAAGGGAAATGTATATTGACGTGGGTATGTTCATCTCATCAATCCTCTTTCTTTCTTTTTTTACGACATATATGAACTGATATTTCTCTTGATGCAGGAGTTATGTCGTGTCCATCAACATTGGTGATCCCCTAAACCTTAAGAGCTTGGCATTGACACCAGTAGTGATTTTACTTTGATTAGATGCCCTGTGGTGTGTCTTCAATCTAAAAATTAGATAATACAATGCATAAGATAAGTATTCCTTTAAAAAAGGCTCAACTTACCAATTTCCTTAAGGATAATTTTTCTCCTTCAAGTACCGGAACTACAATCCCATCAATTTTTTATGAATATCATTTGCTAGAGAAAACCTATAAAATCAAGTTAACTGAATCAATATTGAATTTAGGAGAAAATACACTCACACTCCCCTGAACTTTTCTAAAATGACACTAATATCCCCTCTAATTATTAAACATGTATTGACCTCCCGCGAGACCTATTAAAATTACATAGACACTCCCTTATAGTTTTTAGTGATAGTCAACAACCGTAGGTGTAGATAACATTTACCTACGATTTTTTATTTGTCACTACAACTTTCCGTTGGCATACGTGTACTTAGGGGAGGCCAGTACATAATTTAAAACTAGAGGAGATGTCGGCATTTTTTGAACAAATGTTAGGGGAGGTGAGTGTAATTTTTCCTTGAATTTATAATAACCAAATAGATAAGTCTTTTCTTTCCTTAATTAATTTATTTAGCTGCATATTTTCAAGTTCATAAATACATATAGTTAAGTGCCTTGATTGATCAGAGCTGAAAGAAGTCTTACGTTTTTCATTGGTTCCCTTCATTATTAAATTTAGAGATCTCAAACAACTTTTCCTATGAAAAGGTGGGATCTTCTTCCATATTTACTAATCAACATATTTCATTATAAATAGCATAATAAATAACATAGCATAATTGAAAAATAAAGTAAAACATGTGTATTTGATACAAATTCCTTAGCTACTCATTTTCACTTCAAAAATTATACAAATCTATTCTTAATCGTGGCTTTGCTACAAGCTTAAGTGGCTCATCAAAATTGATTTTTGATGTATTGGGATGTATATTCCAAGTGAAACCGTGGAGCAACCTAGCTAATAAAAAGATAGTCATTGTGGTGCCAAGCTTGACACCGGGACAACCACGTCTTCCTGTACTAAATGATATAAACTTTAAACTCGGCTCTGTCAAAGATATGTCTTGTCCATCATTCTTGAGATGACGTTCTGGTTGAAATTTGTAAGGTTCGGTCCAAACTTTTGGATTTCTCCCAAGACCAGTTCTTCCAAGCAATACATGGCTACCCTTTGGTATCAAGAAATTTCCAACTATTGTATCATTCATAGAAAGATGCGGAGGATTGAAAGCAGATATAGGATGGAGGCGGAATGTTTCTCTTGCACAAGCATTCAAGAATTTGAATTTAGGTATATCCGATTCTTGAACTAGTCTTTCTTTTCCAACTATATTGTCCAATTCTTCTATAGCTTTTTCTAATAGATTGGGTTGTTTTAACATTTCGGCCAATGTCCATTCAACCACATTTGATGGATTGTCCACCATTGCCATCATTAATTCCTGCAAAGAAATTTAATGTATAATATTAATTTAATTTAAATGTACTAAGCAAACATTCAATACAATTGTTGATTTTATCGTCAACAAGGAATAGTATCATAGTTTATTGTTGTATATTCTATTTCAATATAATGGTAGGAAAAAGATAAATAAAAGTAAATGAAGTCTTACAATAGTTTGAGCCTTGACTTCCTTCGTTGTCAATAATGGATTATTATTGGCATCTTTTAATGAAATCAAAACATCTAGCAAGTCCTCTTCAACATTCTTTGATCCATCATTCCATTGTTTGATCCTCTCTTCAATGAGAGAATCATGATACTTGTTCATTATCTTCATTGCATTTTTTACCTTGTTTTTATGTCCATCTAAATCAAGTAACCTCAACCATGGGATATAATCAGACGCAGAGAAAGCATAAATATGATCAAGCAAAACAAAAACAGCATCAACGTGTTCTTTTTCTTCAACACCAGGCCCTCCATCTTTCGTTCCATTTCCAAAGTATCTCGTATTAAAAAACATTTTTCTATACACATTTCCACAATAATGTTGTGTTGCAATTCTAACATTCACAAGATCTCCGTCCTTGCATTTGTTGTACACGTAAAACATAAGATTATCGGCTTCTTCGTTTCTTTTGCCTTCAAGCCATTGATGTCTGATTGGAGAGAGCAAATCCTTTGCAACAATTTTCCTCATCTTTTTCCATTGTTGGCCAGAGGGTGCAAGGACTGAAGTCAAGTAGCCATTGGAGATGATATCAGTGGCCATGGTTTTTGGTCTTGATGCAAAATCAGCATCATGTTTTTTCAAGAATTCACAAGCAATGGTGGGACAATTAACAGGGATAACATGGACATTTCCTAGACGGATACATGCTATTCCAGTGTTGAACTCTTCCATAGTTTTATGTATCCATTCACTTGGAGATTTGCTTGCAAGCATTTCAGGAAGATTGCCAACAATGGGCCATGGTTTAGGACCTGGTGGCAATTTTGGTATTTTTGGGTTCATATTCATCAAGTGATGATATCTTATAGATTTAATAATCATAAAGACAAAAAATAATAAGAGAGAAAGGATGCAATAAAGTACGAGGGAGTAATATAAACGGAGAAAATTAAGAGTGTAACTCATCATAGCTTAGAAAATGATTTTAAAAGGTTCAAAGGAACAATACTTAATGTTTATTAAACTTTATGTTTGTTGAGTTAATTCACCTTAAGAAGTTGAAGTCCTATTTATAATGTAGAGAATAGATATGAACAACACAAATCTAAATATCAATATAATTGCATTTTTTTAAATAATTTTGGATTAGACTTGTACCTACATGATTCTCTTGCAACACACATGGATCACTCATTTCCGGTAATGGAGGACCAAAGGCCTACCCAACGGTAAGGTGTGTTAAGGTCTTGATTTAGGTATCAAAAAGAAATTGTTTTATTAAATAACGTTAGCAGAGCACACACTTAATATATCAATACTGTGTATTGATAACAATCGTATTTATTAAGATTGATAGAAATTTTTTTAAATTTTGGTGAATTTTCAACGTACAAAAGTTAATGAGTTTTTATAATTTTTTGTCTTTTTTATTAAAAAGAAATTGTTAACTTTTTAAAGAGGAAAAAAACAGAACTTCCATACTAATTAGAGAGTCATTTTAAAACTTAAATTGTTAATGAGTAAAAATAATTATTATTTATGTATAATCATAATATCAACTTAATATTAATTTTTAAAATAAATATATATATTTAATTTGAATAATTTTTAGTCATTATAATACAAAAAATTAAAGTAGACATATTTTATTCGAATTAAAATTAAGTTGACTCATAATTTTAATATCAACATTTTACTATAATAGTTATATATTTTATTACGAAAACACTTTTTAATTTTAGTTTTGTAGAATTTTTTTTGTGTTACTCTTATTTATATAAAAATAAATAAAAAATTAATTAATATATTAAAAATTTTAGTTTATCCACTATAATATGAGAAATAGATTTGACAATATGACTTGCTTTAGAAATATAATTTATATTTTATTTTTGAAGTTATTCATTTGAGAAATAGTTTAACTTTAATAAAAAGGGTAAATATCTAACTTATGATTTAAGATCAGATATCTTTTAAATTTCAAAATTTTACTGAATAACTAAAATTAAATATATTTTAATTAAATCATATTAGTATTAAAATTAAATTGAGTCAGAATTTTTTTTTCTTTCCTATTGAAAATGAAGTCTTAATTATCATGTCGAAATGTCATGACATTGGTCAAATATTGTTCATCAAAAGTTGAACATGCTATTTTCTAAATTAGAACCGTCAAAATGGATTAGATCATATGAGCTGACTCGCCAGACTCGAAAACTTATAAGGTTTGAGTCTTAAAATTAGTCACATTTTTTATTTTTTTTAATTCAATCTTAAAAAATTCGCTATCAATTAGGACTAGCACATATCGATCGTGGGTATTCGTTAGACTTGCATGTTATAAATTTTTTTAAAAATATATTAATATTTATGTTGTCTTATTAAAAAATAACACATTATTTTTTCCACCTTAATAAATTTTATTTCTATTCTATTCAATATTTTTTTTTAATTATTCATTAATATAATCAATACTCTTTTACCGTGTTCTATTAGTTTTTCCTCTTATGTTGAATATACGTATATATTATTATACAATTTAGATATATATATTGCATTTAAAAACACATTATATTATTTATAAAAGATAATATAATACTTAAAAATATATTATATTTAAAATAATATAATTTTTAATTATATTTATAATAAATATTATAGAATTTTAATTTTAATTTTTTTAAAAATATTCATTTAAGATCGGATAGCCCAAAATCCATCTAAAATCAGACTTAAGTAATAATTCTCAAACACATATTATAACATAATCTTTTTATCCTAGCCTTGAAAAATCCAAGGCTCGTTAGAATTAACCCGTTTAAAGTCGAATATCTCATTTTAACAATTCTATTCCAAATTTTTGTTTCTTAGTCGGAATTCGTATATTACTCGAATTAAAAACTTTGTTAAAAATTAAATATTTTAATTATGATGGATAAAAAAACTCAATCTAATATTGATTTTAAGCCCCACTTTAAATTAGACGGACCGTGTGAAAAACGATCATTTCATATTTTCGGTAACTAGATGCACGTGACACTGAATTAAAATAGACATTTTTGTTGTTTAGAAATATTACACCCTTGATTTTATTATAAATGTCATTTTTGTAAAAAAAAAAATTCATAAATTTTCTCTATTGTATTTTAATTGATCAAATTATACAACTAATTATTATTGTTTCTTCCTTTGAGAAAACTACTTTTCAAAAAATGATTACGATCATTGCTGCAAGATTAATGTAGTGGAGAAAAATAAAATTTTGCATTTGCCTAAATGGTTCTGTTCCCCGGAGCACACGCTTTCGGTAATAGAAGACATCCTTTAATAGGAGTGAGATGCATGCATGTGATATCAAATAGATATTTTCTTTTTTACAAATAGTATACCCTTGATTTTATTATTATAAATATAATTTTGGATGGAAAATAGGGGATTAGTCCAAATAGTTTGGACCACCTTAGGTATGTTTGGATGGGAAAGTTGTGGAATTGTAAGCTTGTAGGTGTAACTATCTGCAACATTCACATATTTATAATGGTTTTGATGATGACCACATTATGACATATCTCTATCGGTTAAGTAGTGATCAAGAAGTTCTATCGAGATCCATATGTTTCATTTAAGAGATTAAGACGTAAAAACCAATCTCAATAAGGAAAACATCTAATGTCAAGGAGAATCTATTGAAGTCCATGATGATTTCTGGTAAAGTAGTCTCTAATGATGATATCTATTAAGAAGATTTATGAAGCCACATCAGTTAGAAAAATCAAGTTCCATATGAAGTTTTAAATAAATGATGAATCAAGCAAGGGATTTTGAAGCTTCAAATACAGTATAAGAGAGGAAGTGTGAAATCTCGTTTGGTCCGTATTTGAGTGATAAAAGTATTGTAAAGATTTTAGAGTAATTCTTAAATTACAAGGGCAAAGAAAACACTCTCCTTAAAAAATTTGTAAACCTCTATAAATTTTCTAAAACACCTTAAAACCTGTAAAGGAACCATCAAGAGACTTGTGGGATTGACCAAAAGTATTCGTAATCATTTTGGAAGCATTTGAACACTTCCTAATCGATTAGGGAACAGAAAAAATCTTTTTAAATATTTAAGAATACTCTTAATTGATTATGTCACATATTTGTTATAGGGTTTAATTTGTACCATGTAAAACAATACATCAAAATAAAACTAAATCAATAGTTCTTAAAAAATTCTAATTAATCCTTTGTGACGTTCCATTATATTCAATTTGGTACAGAGACTCAAAAGAATGTCTACCATCTCAGAGTGATTCTAAGAATGATCATCAGAAAAAATATATTAAAATAATACACATTTAATATTTTTAAACATGATTTACACTATGTCAAAACTCACTAAGATTAGATGCATCAAAATTATTTTACCCGACTTCCATTAGAATTTTGCATTTGCATTAAGCGTGCAATTTTCTCCTTCCTTTGATGGTCGCTTTGCTTTAATAATGTGATTTTATCCAACAATTAATCAATTTTTTAATTCTTTTCATTAAGTGCAACAATTTCTTCTTGTATTTCTTTTATTGTTTCATGGGGCTTCAGACGAAGACGCCAATCTTGTAGATCTAATAATGTGAGATGATGTTATTCCAAGTCTTATATAACTTACACATCTAGGATGTTATTTTCTAAAAACTTTCTCAAATGCTTCATTTTCAGACAAAGAGTTCTGAAAATTGTAGCTTGCAATTGTTCCTACACATGCAAAAGAGCAAATTGAGTGATTTCTAAGTGACTAAAATATTATAATTAATGTTGTGACTTGTAAGATATAAAACCTATACAACATATGTTACCACCATTTAAGTCCAAAATACATTGAGCTTTATATCATAAATAGACATTGTTAGATAAAAAACCTTTATAATATATGATTTATTTGGTATAGAAACAAAATGTTCTATTCAAATATTTAGCTCCATGAGCACAAAAGCTTCAAGAATATAATACTATGAGTTTAAGAATTTGTAATTTTTTAGCATGCCTTGCATCATTTCTTATATTGTGATTTAGATTCCCCCCTTTTACCTTCTAGGAGAAGGAAAACCCATGATTTTTGGAGATCAAAGGATTTTTTTTTAGGTCTCATTGTTCTGAGTATGTATTTGATTTAAATTTTAAGAGAGTGGCATTCTTTTTGCATATGATGCGAATTCAAGAGATAACATAAAATATTCCTTTAGAGGAATCTCTCCTAGAATGTTGAGTGAGCTATATTTTACACATGAATTAGCAACTAATGTTCCTTTATCAGATGAGTTGTTTAAAGAGTCTGTAATAACCAGCAAAAAATATAGAGTCGTCACCATTAATTTTTATCCTAAAATAGAAATATAACGGAATAATCCTAATTGATGATACAAAGATTCTAAGTTTTTGACTCACTTTAGACGAAGGGAAGGTGTTAGACACCCTTCATCTACCTTGTTCACAAAGATATTGGGGTTTAGGTTTAAGGTTTAGGAATAGGGTTTTAATATTTTAGTTATGGAAACTCGCTGCGATTTCTTTATTTTGTATGCCTATGTATCCTCTTATGAGGAATCAGAGTCCCAATTCGTAGTTCGTAGTTGTTTGGTTAGTTTTTTTTAATGGACTATGGAAATATCAATAATTCTCCTTGAACCAAGTCTGAATTTGTAAATAGTGAAATTGTAGACGTAGTTCGCAGTCGATAAAAGAAGTTTCCATAATCCTTTTTTGAAAATAAATATGAATTTGAATTAAGTTAGTGAAAAAAAGTTAGTATTTGATTGGTTAGATGTTTTCGAGGATATGATGCAATATGAGAAAAATATATTTTAATTCACGAGAAGAATATTTAATGCAATTAAAGAAAGATTAATATTTAAAAACAAATTTTAATTAATAAAAAAATATGTTAAACATTTTTAATAGAAAAAAATTACAATTATTTACTAATTATG